TCACTTTTGGAATGTATACATTGCAATCGGAAGAAATATATTAGCACATCGACACACGTTTTTCTTCCGGTTAGCGACAAAAAAACAAAAAAACCTAAGTGACAAATGTTTCTGTAGATAAACAAATACGTGTTATTTATCCTGATTTCCGTGTGATTATTTCTTCATCATTATACGCTATTGCTCAAAGAAACTAGAATGAAGAGCGATAAAAAGAAAAAGAATGCATGATGAAGACGAATAAAAATATGTGGAAGAAACCACATATATTCATAAATATATCCAAGAAATCAGTCTATCGATGTTTTATTTACTTCGATCGAGAGGAAAGAAAAACAAATAGAGTGGATGAAAATTGAGAAGATCATATGTACATATGTTTCTTTCTTATTCCATAAAAAAACCACCAATATTTTTCCTTATTGATTTCTAGGGGAACAAACTTGTCATTCAATTATTCATTTACAAAATAGAGCTAAAGAAATGTTACCAAAAAAAGGTAATAAAAAATATCATAATAATTTTTTTTGTTTTTTTTTTCTTATATTAATATTAAAAATTTTAGCTGCGAATCTTATTTATTGGCAAAATCCAATTGAATCTGGCATTGTTTTTGGTATTTTACTATCAGTAATAATAACATTTATGTTTTTATCGTCATTGGCTGCAATATCATTTTGGTTACTTGCATTTCTTGTAATTATTGGCCTGTATAAATTATATAATTATGTCATGGTAACATTTGTTGGTCGAATTCAAGATGATATCTTTGAGTAAGAGAAATGATTTAATTAACTATAACGATTTCTATATATATATGTAAATTTAGTTCAATGTTTTCATCTGATATGCATATATCTGATAGACAAGCACAAGCATTGGCTAATTATATTCGTACAAATGGAACAATGATATTAAGACAAGCACGAAGTCTTTTCTTATGGAATAATTTAACAAATTCAATTATTGTAAATAAATTAAATATCTTTATTATTTTGTTTTTTTATTGAAATATAATTGAATATTTTTATTCTTTAAGTTTGGTCTTATTCTTTTCATGTGTTTCTATGTTGGTTTATCAATGAATGCACTTACATTTGGACTTGTTGGTTTAATTGTTTTATTTACAATACCAAAAATTTATCAAGTATATCAAGTAAGAAATTTTAATTTTGTTTTTTTTTGCTTTTGAATATTCACAAAATTTTTCTTTCTAGGTACCAATTGATCGTACTGCTAAACAAATTCTTAATCAAATAAATCAACTTCTAGCTAAGTAAGTATAAATTAAAAAAAAGTTTTTTTTTTTTTTATCTTAATTTTCTTTTCTTTTTCGAATTTTTTAGAGTAACAACAAAATTACCAACAAAACCCAAAAAAGCTTAAATTAATGATTATGACAAAACTGTTTCATTTAGGTTTAATAAAAAAACAAAAAACAAATTTTTTTTTCTTATCTCTATTCTACTAGTCTATCATTTTGTTGATTTCGTTAGGCATGGAATGCATTTTTTTTTGGCTCCTATTTCCTACGTTTTATATTCTTTATGTTGTGTTTGCTTGTTTATTTCTATATTGTCAACTCTAGAACACGAAAAGAAAATATAAACATTATGCAATGCATTCTTATCATACAGCATCATCTTCATATGTGCACTTGTTTATATTAGCAAAACAGCATTTTGGATATATTTTTTTTTAAATAGCATGTTTGTTTTTATATAAATTTCTTGGAATGAACTAAAGATCAAGCTTTGTTTGTCATCGATATGAGAAAATGATGAATGAAATTTGTTTTTGTAATAATAATCTTTTTTGAATGACTATTTAAGTGAAGACTTTTTTTTTAAATGTAATATGAATATTATGTTTTATTGCTTGATTGAATTAGTAGAAGAATTAGAAATGAAATAAAAAGATTTTTCTTATTGAGAAAAGTTTTATTGTTTAACAAGAAGTAGATTGTACAGAGCTGTCTTTAAATAACTAGACAATAAAAGAATTCAATATTCTATGTCTGCTTCAATGTATCTGATTGATTTTTTTTCTTGATAATAGAGGATTCTTCAAAGTTTTTTTATTCATAAGAAAACTATGAAATAAATACTGTTTAGAACTAATACTATTCATCTCAACGAAGAAATCCACTGTTGATTAAAAGTATTTCAGTCATTCTTGGGAATAGACATGTGAGATTTTTAGTGTACATACTACGTTAGAAATGTAGGTCAGTGAGATAAGCGTAGTCTTGTTCCGTTGGCTTGAGTAGCAGTTACGATCTATGAGAACCGTTCTCACTATGAGTCCTAGGACTCAAGAAGAGAAGAAGCTTATGACTCGGCGAATCTATCAGTATGTGGTCTTCTTATGCGACTATTTACGTTATGCATTGGATCGAGTTTCATTTAAGCATTCAAAAACTGTGGATATTTTACATAATAATAAGTAAACTAGATCCTAAGCTCGTTTCTGCCTCGAGTTAAAGAACTCATAGTGAGGAGAGCCATCATACATCATAACTCATTTTAAACTGAAGCGATCGAGATCGGGGAGGGTTTCGTCGACCTAAATTTCTAGAGTAGTATATATGCTAAAATTTTTAGATATGCAGTCTTAAGAATGGTTGAGATTACAGGGTGATAATTTCGGACAGTAGTGTATTTCTTTATTGAGATCGATAATGCTAGTTCAAAACAGTATCCTTTTCTGGCTTCCTTGTGACAAAAAAAAACTTTTGAAGAGTTCTCTACCACTGAGAAGGAAATTAGCCCAATTGATTAAGACAGACTGAGGATTTTCAGTGTTTTTATCGTCTAGTTATTTATGGGTCGCCCTATATAATAAATCTCTATTATCAATTTCAAGAGACATAAAGCTACAATTGCCATTGATATGAAACTAGCACATCGGATTCAGGTCAATTTCCAGTGCTTCACGTTAGAGAACTTACGAGAACGGGATCTGACTAAGGATGTTCAGCAGCACATACGAAGACACCCATGTCCTTACCCGATCTCTAAAATCCAGGTGTAAAGCATTTTCGATCGACCAAAGCACGTCTCGGCAGCTTCACACTGATATAATTATAAAATTTAACATAAATGTTTTTTTTTCCTGTGGATCAATGTCAACATCATGTATTTGAATGAATTCTAATCAAGTAATAAAATTAAAGATTCTTAAAGAGTTTCAGTACGATAGTAGAATCTCATTATGATAATTAGTTTTAATTTATAAAGAATTTCTTTCACATATGTCAAATAATAAATTGATTTTTATCGATCTTTCTTATTACAAGGAGTTCAGATCGATGGAATAACCACTAAGGAGCTGAGGGTCCCTCCTGATACGAGCTCAAGTCTTCAAAAACATGGACTTGCAACTTTCTACATTGATTGCACAGAACATATACTTGTTTAATCTCGGTTGCATAAATACATCTAAAACTATCTCATGCAGCTAAAGATTTTGGTGTTACTGTTGGTTTGACAATTTTCAATGACGAATTTTGTTTATCAATTAATTGTTCAATTTCCTTTTCTGTTAACATTATCCTCTTATCAACAAAGCAAAAACTTTTAATTTATTCAGTATCAAGTGATAAGAAATTGAAAAACAAGAAATAACTGTACGTTGGCTTTTTTTCTGGAAGTAGTCAATAAATAACTAAAACTTTGATCGTTCGCTTGTTTATGTACACAGAGGGTGCTAAATATTGGTGGAAAACAAATTCGGGTCGGGATCCAGAAAAGCGTAGACCCACAATTCCCTAATAATTACTCTTCCTAATTCGATTTAACAAATTCATATTAGTGTGAATTTTAACATTCTGTTTCTCAGTAGTTCAATAGTATCTTATGGATAAATCAATTCTAATGTTATCTAGTGTATCACATGACTTCTTCGTCTTGTCAAATGTCAACGAATTTGATCAAGTAGTACTTTTTAAATATGTTATGAATATCAATACAAAAGTCAAATAAAGTTAATATGATTTAAAAGTAAAACAAATTCGTACAATATTTAAGATACTATTTTAGACAATAAGTCTTTTCATATTGTGAAAATTGAATTGGAAATTTTAAAACCTTGTGCTTTTTTTAAATAATTGTCTAAAATGAGAAAATAAATTCTTAGATTGAAATGATATGTTTATTTTAAATGGATTATAAACTACGTTAATATTATAAATGAAAATAAAAATCAAGAATAAGAAACTAAACATATTTTAGCAGTTTTGTATTACATAAAGCTCAAAGTTTTTCTTATATAAATAATAAAGATAAACTTTTGCGAATTTTTATATTATATTTAGAGTATTGGTAATGAAAGAAAATACACCGATAGTCTTACATGACTATAACCTTTATTGAATTGTCATATTATGTAAACTTAAGATTAGTTTTGAGAATAAATTGAATAACAATAGACGAAAAGAGTGTTCTATCGTTTACATGACCATTTAAAATTTTAATTGGATCGAATTTTACCAACAGGTAAATACCAAAATAAGCAGCTAGATATCGTTTAGAGACAGTAGATTACATTTTATGTAAGAAAGAATAAGAAAACGACATCGAGAGGTTATTATGCAGACGTTTACATAAATTTTCTTTAACTCTATTATTTTTCCTTCTTTTCTTTCTTTCTCTTTGGACTATTGCGTATTTAATCTTTTATTTATACCCTAGAAATTCATTCTAATCGTTCATAAATTTTTGAATGCCATTTACTTTTGAATTTTGTTTTATATTTAAAAAAACAGGAATTTTTAATTAAAGATTTTGTTTTTTTCGAATCTTATTTATCTCTTTAACATAGTATATTAACATCTGACCTACCTCTTTTCGTTCATATTTCTTTTATAGTGTCTCGATTAAAATGTACTTGTAGAAGTTACTTTTTCATATTTAAGTTCACATACGTATATAAAGAGAAACTTGTGAATTACATATTATATTTATAGACTAATTTTTTTTTTCGTATTATTCATTTAAACAATGTTTGGTTTTCAAACTATCGCTTGTCTTCGTGATATACCAGGTAAGAAAATTAATTTTTCTTTTTGTTTTTTGAAAAAAATTATTTCATTATTTTTTTTTGTTTTTCTTATAAAAGTTATCCGTTCATCAACTAATAAACTTCAAGATGTATATGTTAAAGCAAAGAATAAAAGCTTACTTATTCAACTTCCATGTAATTTAGTTGAAATGGTTGCTGATAAATCACTTAAAATTGCTTCTATGGTTGCTAATCCATTTGTTAAATCATTACATGGATCTGGTAATTCATCATTATTTTAAAATTATTTTTTTTTTTTTT